TTGGGGGGGGGGAGTTTCCAACCCCGGGACCCCCCCCCCCCCCCCCCCCCCCCCCCCACCCGGCCTCCCCACTTGGTTGCGCCACTGCTGGAGAGGCCTTTGGTACTTGAAGAGATACAAGTGGATACATGTTCCTCTGCCATCTTGGGACTGCAGTCGCACGAGCATGATACCAAATACAGTGGGAATTTTAAATATATATATATTCAAGTTTGATCGGTTTTCCTTTTCCCGAGGATCACATGACACCATGAGCATTTTATTCTACATATATCCAATTGGGAGTCTAGCAGATGGATTCAAGATACGCGGATGGCCCTTGAATCACAACGCAGACAGGTGCTGCGTTCTGATTGGCCGGGGACGGTCTGTCGCTCGACGCACGTGTGGATAGCATGATGGGAGTGGGGGTGCAGGCTTGAAGGCCCCAGGGCATAGGGCTCGGGGGTAATTTCCTCTTTTGCCCTCCCCTTTTTTATGGGCCTGCTATCAACTGCCTCGTGCGACTCCAGGAATGGGTGCCCGGAGAGACTCGCCGTCCCGCTCGGTAAGGGAGGCCTCTCCGTTATTATGCTCTCTACGATCTAGCCATCCCATCTGTATATCCATCGTTAGTGAGAAGTTGCTGGTTTCGGACGGCTGACTGCGAGTCACCCCCATCTCGTTATCTCTGCACTCGCTAAACTAATTTCCAACACTCGATTCTGTCACCGTAAGTTCTACTTCTCTCTCCCTGCGTCAGGGTCCCAATACCTCTTGTCGGTAAAACTTCCACCCCACCCCATCCTTTTATAGCCCTAAGGTTTTTGGCTATCGTATGTTAGGCGCACCATCGAACCACCCAGACTGCGTGGCGCTGCCAAGTCTCTCTGCCGCTTCATTCCTCCTCCTCACATATCTCTCCTATTACTCTCAAATTCATATGCTGGTTACTGCTGCCACTCGCAATCTTTGAGTCAAAAAGTTGCAGATATATCGGTGTCTTTTTAAAATTATTTAAAATACCACTTCTGACTGGATTACGCATGACCGATGCAGAATTTAGCCAGCTGACCCGGGCGCCATTCCACACAACGAGTCTCGCTCGGGCCTTGTCATGTGCTTGCACCAATATTAATGCAGCACGACAATCAAGACCCTCATTCCATGAATGCCAAGCACACTAGCATGTTCATTGTGGACGAGGTGGGTTAAAAGTCTCCTTATATTATTTTTCATTTCGTGCACATTTGATGAGATGGTTAAAAGAATGTGCCATAGGACATGATGGGGCACACGCAGATCCACTACACTAATATATACTCATTTTTCTGTTTAAGAAATGTTTACTAAGTTATTATTGTTGACTAAATGTTAATTGAGTGCAATGGGATTTTTCGCCCACGCCGTACATAACAAAATTTCTCCATACATTTGTCACAAGTTCGGTGCGAACAATTACGTTTACTCTTACTCTTCGGAGGGGGGATGAGTAGTAATTGGGAAAAATTAGTGGAGATGGAGATCCGTGCGGCAATAAAGTTGATGACGATTGCCGAAGCCGGTGATCCCGACTCGTCACAAAGATCTAAAGCACTAGATAGTACCAGCCCTGGCACAGATCCTTGGTTCCAATGGGGCCAATACCATTGAATTCATCTTTTTCCCCGCATCTTAACCATCGGACCTTGAAATACCGTACAACATAACTTTCCAATCCAACCCAATTCCATTTGTGGTCACGAACTGGCGACTGAATCCCAAGTCATGTTTTATTTGCCCTGTCAGCATCTTCATTTTTGAAAATTTGCTTTCTGTCTTCTTTGATGGCGATGGCAGACCCCATGCAGGAAACCGAAGCCATGGAGTTAGACGACGAGCCCGAGGCAGAGGTGCGAGATGGCATGCCCGAGTTCCTGGAAAAAATGCTTCACCTCACCGCAGGGCATCGGAAGGAAACGATCGACGGAGCCAAAGAATTCCTGAAAAAGGAATTCCCCGATTGGGATAGCGGCTGTCGCGTTCTCTTTCCCGTCGTGATGCGGGAAAAGGAAAAAGACGGCGACGAAGCGGAACTGCTCGTGATGAAGAAAATCCTGGAATTTTCTCTCGCCGAACCGCAGTCCATGTTCGTGGTGATGAACCCAAAAATCCTCAGCAACAACATGGAGTCTGACGTCGTCGTCATCCACAGATATGCAGGGGTGAAGATCCTGGAGATCAAAAAGCCGCAAGGATATCGTTACATGAACAAACGCATCAACGAGGCATTCAAGCAAGTCGAGAAGGAGAAGGAAAAGATGCAAGATATTTATGAAAACGCCTTTGGTGAATTTCCAGTGGGAATATTCGGCAGCTCTCCTGGGTTCGCCTGTGTTCCCTGCCACAAGTTAGACCGCTCAGATAGGAGAAAACCAGGTGTTCTCAGCGCTGACGAGTGCGAGAGTGCTGGTTCCTTTAAATCATGGTGGGAAAACCGTATTTTCTGGATGGAAGACATCTTACAAAAACCTCTTTCTCAAGATATCTACCTCAATCTCTTGTCCATGTATTTTTTCTGCATTCCTTCGTTGTTCCTGCTTCTTTTTTTCGTGCATGAAATGCCGATGAGATCGAGTCGAATATCCGATCTCTCCATTTTTCAGGTTTATCGGAGCCTGGTGTTTCCAAGAAAGCATAAACAACCGAAACGTGGGCTGGCTGATCGAGGAGACCGCGAAGCTCCTATGACACCCGGCCGAGGAGGGTTCCAACCCCGCCATCCCCATCTTCGTCCCTCCCGACCTCAGGTCGGCCATGGACTGGGTGCGGACGGCGGATGCGTCGCGGGACAAGCGGAGGGTGATCGCGAGGGTCGCGGGGACAGGAAAGACGTGGGTCTTGACCGAGTCCGCCGCTAGTATCCTGGCTGAGGATTTTCGGAGCCGAGTGCTGGTGTTGTCCTTCAATCGGCCGGTTGCAATTTATCTTCGGAACGAGATTCACCGTTCGATGAAGAAGAAACTGCAGGGGAGATGGAGCCCCGTCTGTGGGTCTCGAGGCCCGAGCGTCACGGTAGACACCTTTTTTGCCTTCATGGGCTGAAAAGTCCCTGATACTCTGGACCCTGACGAGGATTTCAAAAGGAAAGAGGCTCTAAGGAATATGTTAAAAATGCGGGGGGAAGACTTGAAAGCAATATATGGCACATATAGTCATGTCTTCATCGACGAGTCCGTCAACTTGTGCTTTTAAAATTCCGTGCATGAAGGCAAGTGTGCTTCATGGCTCGACTTGCTGGAGAAAATCTGGGACGAGACCGGATGCTTTTTTCTATCTTTCGATTTGGAGCAACGCGTATATTGAAAGATCGAAGTGACAGACCGAGAAAAGGAATATCTGGGAGTTTCGAAGGAATTGAAGCAAATCATCCGCAGTCCAGGCCTCGTGGGTGACAGTTTCCTCGCCCATGCCAGCCGGGAAACTCGGGAGAAGATCCCAACACGAGAATGCCCTCAGGTCCTGGGGATGCCGGTGGTTTATTGCAAACCGTATCTCCGGCACGTGAGCTGGTCGGATTGCGACGTACAGGGTATCGAAAATGTCGTCCGAATCATCGAGGAGTACGAATTGAGAGATGTGAAGGAATTTGTGATACTTACCAAGACGAGGCAGTTCGCCTCCTTCGTGGGAGAAGGGTTGAAAAGGGCTCTGAGTAAACTAAAGCAGAGACATTCCCTTTGCGACGCAGCAACCCTGGCTCGCAGCCACGGCAGTGCGATGGAGGACGAGGGGCGAATCGTCGTCGATACCGTTCGCCGCTATCAGGGCCTGCAAGGAATCGTCGTCACAATCTTCGGCCTTCCCTCAGGTCAGGATCCCCTGCTGTATTTAGGCAAGAGCCGATGCTCTGGCATCTTGTTCGTCGTGGGAACCCAAGACACTTGTGATGAAATGAAAGAGAAGGAAAAAATTTACAAGAGTGAAGCCACTCCTAGCATCTCTAGGAAAAGAAATGGAGAAACGTAGGGTGCTCCGTCTCTCAAATGGATCAAGGTCCGAAACTTTCCCCCTTTTTTGGATTTGGAGTGGATTTTACTTTTAATAATAATAATAATGCATGGAACTATAGCTGCTCTTCCTTGTTTATTATTTACGATTACACCAGCACCGATGGTACTGGCTGAAGCCGGAATGATTCACCCACAATCAATTCACAGACATGGAGTGCCAAGAAACAGGGAGCTCACAACAAGTATGAGAGGATAATCCACCTCACAAAGACAATTCAGAGCCTTGTTGCCTCCTTCTTGTTTCTGCTTCAGGGCTCTGGATCAGTCCCCGACAGAACTTCAGGCCATCGATCGAACAGCTCCACGTATTGAGGGATTTGGTATCCTAGAAGCCTCTCTGAGACAGAAAAATAGACAGAACTACAGTCACTTTCACGAATGGGTTTGGGCTTTTGAGCAGTCTTGCAATTGCACAGAATGTCTCGAGTTTGATCACTTTCCATTGGTGATAACCAAAACGTACTCTGATTCTGAGCCAGTCATTTCCTCATGATTATCTGAAAACAATGAAAGTTACAAACTGTCCGGCTTTTGCATGACAATTAAATGGCTGCAATGCAGTTTTCTGCAGAAGGGGAGTAAGAGGTTGTTTTCTGCTATATACAATGTGTATTGAGACAAAACTGAGCCATGCGGAAGCATTTGTGCTCAGATAGACGAAAGAAAAATGCCTAGTAAATAGTGAAGAACCCTAATTGGCACTGGTGCTAATGGTGTTTGGAAACATCTGTTCTGTTTGGCACAGCAGCTGTTGTAGATATTTTGGATTGTCATCCTCAATCGCTATCTTTGCCGAAAATAGGTGTCCTCCAACTTGTGTTAGGTGATTTAATAAGTTGATAATTCATTTAATTCTGTTAAAGATGGAATTTTCTTCTTTTAAGTCATCAATCTGACTTACAATCCTGCAAACTCTGCCTTGTAGTCTCCAGTCATCAACTCTAGTTCCTTATGAACAGCTGCATCTGACTCGAGACTTCATGTCCCGCATCAGGGAATCCTCGTGGAGTCTCGCTGCAAGATCAGGAATTTACATCACGAATTTCACGAGTGAACAGCCGATGTCACGAGGTCGTCACCGGCCCAGAAAGAAATAAAAACATAATTAAAAACTCTCCAAACAGAAAAATGTATTCCATCATTGCAAAACCTCCATCTTTCAAAAATACACAGGAATGCAGAGAACAGAGCCGATCTCCAGGTGGAACGCGATGGAGTCCATCACGCGGGAGCGATCGACTTCAAGCATGAAAGTCACGAGTGTGCCCTCGTGTCACTCAAGGCAACGCGGATAACAGAAAAATGATTCGTACTCAACAAATTCATCACATTCTATGGCTGGCATCGACTCAATGCCATTAAATTGCCAATGGAAACATGCCATTAATTTAAAAAATTTTATCACAACCCCATAGGAATGATGCAATACTTTGCCTGTGATTCCCCACCGATACAAAATAAATTTCCCCCAAAGATTATCTCCCATTGTCTGCGATCGACACAAGGAATCGTGAAACCACCGTCATGTCTGACAAAAAGATGGAGGAATTTGCCTCCTTTAGTCTCAATGTCTCAGATGATTTCATGCTGTGAACTAACAAGAATGTGAAGGGAAATGGAAGAAAAGCCAAAAATTGCAAAGTGTCAAAATATCTGGGTGGAAGGGGGGAGTCTGAGAATCTTACATCAAAGCAACAGAAACCAGACACCATCACATTTTACTTTGTGAGGCAACTTCACCTGTTCCTTTGTGGTTCTCCAGGTTGGAAAATGGAAATGCATATTGACTTTGAGGACGAAAGAATTGCGGACTTATCGAATCCTGATGCTTTCACTCCTCGTTCCATGTTCACAGAATCTAGCACGATCATGAACGGAAACCGAAAAACCTGCTTAATATCTAATGCTGTCTCAATCAAATCTTGAGTATGAACCAGATTTTAAACTTATTATACTAAAGGCAATAACATGTACACCACCCTGAGATATCACAATGCATCAGACTCTTCGCGTTCACGAAGCCGGAAGGAGGCAGGACACGGAAGCCCGACCGTAGTCCTCGTATTCCCGCAGCTGCGGGTGGTCCAGGTCTTCCCGGTCCTCCGAGTGCTCCACCCCTGCGTAACGATGGGTGGGCGGCCCGAAGTTCCTGACGCAAACGCACCTAGTCTCCCCTCCTGGGTTGTACAGCCTCCGTGGAATCCCCGCCCAGTCTCGAGAGATGCCTCCGCTGCAAAACAAAGGTAATCTCATGTAACAAGAAAAATGCAGTCAAAATGTTTTTTTATATTTTAAATTGTGAGAAAATGATGCAACGAATGTGCAACGAAGGTGCCTAGGTTACATTTGACCCATCATGAACCTCAGGCCATCAATATTAATTCCTTAGGCTAATTTCTTGCTTCAACAAAAACGTAATTTGATTTTAAAAGTTTACAATGCAAGGGAAACCCCTCTGAAGCTAAAGGGATTGCTCCATTATATAGTACATGGTCATTTTCGTATTGCATGCATTAAGCAGGCAAAACCTGCTCATGGGGTTATCTTCTGCTTGATCAACAATTTTCCACATGCATCTCTTAAAATACCCTTCGAGAATAACTTCGGAATTCTGCTGACTGAGGAAGTTATGTGTGAAGAGAACATAATCGCATCTTGATTGTAACCAAAACATCATAAATTTATTAACTGGGTTCTTGTCAAGCATTAATATTTTTTGCCTCTTGCTTGAGGCAGGAACGTACTCTGGAGTTGATGAAAACGGACTCCACCATTATTCACAGAGGTGAATATATATGCGCCCTACTTTCCTCAAGAGGCATCCTATTTTTTTGAATGATTTTGGATGCAAACTTGATTGCTGGGGGGGGGGGGCGGGGTTCAAAATGTGGGCTTCAACGGACAAATGTGGAATTTTGACAGTCATTTAGGAAACCTCACCAATAGTTTCATGGGATCTAAGAGATAGAAAATTAATTCAATAATCCTTTTAGTGCCCAGCTTCCTGGTGAGGGATGTGTGAAAATAGCACTCGTGTTTTTGCTGAATACTGAACATTACACAAAATATCCCCAACACTGCCCTGTCAGCCCTGTAAGGAACCAGCAGTAAGAGAATTACATGACCAATAATATTGGCCCGTGGCAATTTTTGCACAACCCAGGCAAGGCCAAAATGTCAGCCCATGGCACTAAGAGGGTTAAGTTCAAAGCAATAAGAGAGTAGTTCCCTGCATTGTCTCCTGTAGGCCTACAAAATGTGACAAGGAAAGCATGGGGCTCAGTGTCCACACATGAGCAATGGAGCCATGCCTGTTCCATGCACCTCATAGTGATTACTGTAGTAGGAAGAGTGCCAACCTAACATGTCTGTGACTTCTCTCAGCTGAAAATAGAGTCAGAATGATGAAATTTCTGCAGCATTCCCTAAAATGAAAGAGATGCACATAGTAAGCAAGGACTTTTCAAAAAGCAGAACGGGTTGGTTTTTTCACTTCATTAAAACATGAAGCAGCAAGAAATTCTTGGACTGCTCAAAGCAGGCAATGAAGTGAATATAAGGTGCCTAATATGATTTCAGTCATAGGCAAGGAGACTGCTGCAAAATTAGAACATCCCAGACAGTCAGTTCTTCTCATGAAGGTAAGGATACATGGGATAGGAGCGCTTGACATGCCTTTGGGTGGAAAATGTATCGACATGAAAATTATAAGTGGTACCTCCATGTGACAAAATTCAAGACCCTGCCCCAAGTTGATATGTGAAGTATGGCCACATGTTTCTGCAACCTAGGAGCCTCAAATGCAGAATGCTCCTTTTTGGAAGCAGACGGCAGACCGTACCTCTTGTCGGAGCACCAGACGCGGGGCCGTTGCCCCTGCCTCCATTCGGAGTTATAGGGGGTCATCACTTTCTACTCCTCGTCTTCGGCCTCCTTGGCCGAGAACGCCTCCCCTACCCAGCGCTCCACCTGCTTCGCATTCTTGGTCTTCTTCTTCTTGTCATATAACCTCCACACTACCTTCCCTGCAAGTACCAAAAACATTTAGGATGTATCAGGTCAATGTGTCTCAAGGAAAGGTTCGAATTCGATCAATGCATTTAATCAAAGAGTTAAGAAGGGAAGGCATACCGATGTATTCGTACTCGCGGTCGTAGAAGTCGGACCACTCGTCGAGGCGCCGGTAGTCTTGGACCGACAGCCCGGACACCTCGTCCGTGAGACTGGCATCTGTGAAGTCCCCAGTCACGAAAGCTCGAGATCCATCACGCCCTAAAAATGGTCAAAGTCCATATTATTAGGAATACAACAAGTGAATTCCTTGTTTGAGCAGGATTCCTCCTGTATTTTCAAGGACTACTACAGGGGGAAATTATGTATGAAGAATCTGTGCAGAAAGACACAGCAACCACACCTTCTCCACAGGAATAATTCAGTTGAAACATTTACTCAAGAGCCACCTTTTTACTGATCCAGCAATCAAATGAGCAACGAATATTCACTCAACTATGATGTTCAACTCAAAATTCACAGTATCTAGCTAAAACTCATGCTTGCATATAGCTGAGAAATTGAAACTTTTCATAATGCATCATATGGCATGATACTGAGTAACCTGAGTTTCCTCAACTATGTTATGTCACAATCATTATTACAAGGTTCAGAACATACAATTTAGTCTTCAAATGTGCCCCAAGCTTAGGCCCCTGCCATTAAAAAATGGCTAATAAATATGTTCAGACATGCAGCAATTCCCTTGAAGACAGACAAGAGATAAAGCACCGGTGAAGAAGGCATGAGACCCGCCAGGGCCATAGCGCTTGCGACCGGCAGAGACGTCGTAGATGCGTCCGAGGAGAGCCAGGTAGATGGGTTTCTCGTCCCTGTCCGTCATAAGGGCGAGTTCTTCAGGGGTGAGGACGATGTCTTGCAGGAGGGCATCCCCATCCTCGTCCGACATCCCCATTCCCTGCTCCTCCAGGATTTCCTTCCACATCCCTCCACCCCCCCATGCAATACCTGTCCAACACCAGCCACTAAATTTGATGCTCACCGCCAGCCAAGTGCATCACAATTAATCTAGGCTTGTCTCCACACTAAACCGGTCCACTACAACAGGGCTGGAATGAGGCATTTCAAGATGAAAGTGAATGAAAAAGATTCAGATGTAGTCAAAATCAGCTTAAGAGTTAGAACTAGAATCATTACAATTCCATGCATTAATTTGTAAAATTTCTAACCATGTCCAACTGAAAAAAGTTTTATATTTTAGCTACAAAGAACCACCCGAAAACCTGTATTGTTCTCACACTGCTTGAAAAGGCCAAAGGCACCTCCTTCCCCATGCCCAGATGTTTTTTCTCATTATTATTATTTTTACCCCACTCAAAATAATTTGTAATTCTCTCATGTGCTTTCATGCTATGTCTCTTCTGTCCAACAATCTACTGGGTGTTGCACATAGATAGCTCCGCAGCCCAAACTATGGGAGCTAGAAAATTTAAATATATATATTTGGAATCCTTGTTAAATTTTGATTCTATTCAATCCCAGTTTGTTGTTTCTGATGTCGTACGATGTTAAAAACCTACGTTTATTGATCGCATTCGTGTAATTATGTATTGAGAAGCTTACGATGCCAGAGTTGAATTCCTGACGCATTCATGGATCAGGAATTCAACTCTGGAATTCAACTCTGGAAAACCCCAAAAACGCAAAACTTCACAGCAGCTCATCAACAAATGCTCAAAGGAAAAAAGAAATCACTCGTTTGCTATGTTTATGAAGTGACACTATCTCAAGCCAATCCCTGTTGTGTCCTTACTCCTTAAAAAGAAAAAGTAAGACTAGTTCTTGTTCAATTCCAAAGCCTCCAAATTCATGATGAGCCACATTATTATGTGCCACTTGGGAGAGAAGTTAAGAATGAAAACATTTTCAAATATGGCATGCCATTAAAAAATGAATGTATTGTACCCAGAATTAATTTTAAAAATCAAGAAGCACAAGGAATCATCAGTAAGGACAATGAAAGTTTGGATGTAAGTTTGAGATCAGCTGGTCCATTTCCGTCACAACAGGGGGCTGGTGACTAATTGTTTTCCTTTTACTTGACATGAAAATGGGCAACTACCCAAGGACTTGCCAGCCCACAGTTTTGCTAAAAATCACATTTTTATAGCCCTCTTACGACATTCGCAGACGATTCCGAGCAGACCCGCCCGTTCTCACCTGAGCGACAGGACCCGGTGAGAGGACCGGGCGAGTTCCTTCATGCCCGGGATCTGATAGAGCACGACCAGGTAGGCTGGGTCTTGTTCGTGGAGGTAGATGGCGATCCCGATCAGGACGGGGATCGCGATCACGATCACCTTCCCGATGGTCCCGCATTTCCCCATCCTCTTTGGCTGGCCCCACCCATCACATTCGCGCCATGCCTGCGTGGAACCCACATCCGTGTCATGCATTTTTCATGCTTACATTCCTATGGCAGCTTAGAGGGAATTGAGTAATAAATCAAAGCACAAGTTGTGGCATCTCTTCCTTTGGCAACCAAGGTTATCAAGATAACCAGAAATGTACACAAGTGAAACTCATGCATGTTCACATGTGCGGAATGAATTTCCCACTGAAACCTCATTGAAATGCTAGCCATGATCGAATTCATGTTCAAAGGAGCGTTTATCAGACAGACATGACACTTTTCTAAATGAAATTACTCCCATCGGGAAACATATGCCAGGAGGATAAGAACTGTGAAGTCAACCCAGAATCACTTTAAACCATATTATTTTCTTTCAATTATTGACAATCTGACTCAAGTGCAACTATGCACTTCTCGGAAAATTTCTGGAAACCCAAGAAAATGTGTCGTTTTCACAAGACAATTACTATTGAAGGACTTTAAACAATCCACTTTAAAAAACAAACCTCTCATCTTCCACTTGCCAATATAAACTCCTAAATTCTTTTTTTTTTCAGATCATAAAAAGGTTATTTTAAAAATGATAGCTGAAACAAAAGATATTTTCCTTTGGCATACTCCCAATGTCTCTCGAGGATCTGGTGGAGAGTGAACAGCTAGCTGGTCCGTGGTGCTGCGCCCTTCACGAAAGCCGCACTGCTCCTCTTGGATAGCATCACCCACGAATGCCCGAGTTCTCTGCACCTGCATCTTGGAATAGACTTTACCAGGTATGCGGAGGAGAATGTAGGCTACCTTCTTGGCAGTGACAGCCTCGCGCACCACCAGGGCGTTCACTTGGCGTTACCGTGAGCCACTCCGATGCGCTTCTCCCCACACACTCTTGCTGCCGCCGCCGAAACACCAGACCTAAATAGAGTCCATTCGGTTCCTACATATGACGTCTCGGGAGGCAGTTGGGAGTAGATCTCCCTCGCAAGTTTTCCCATCTCACTCGTCTTTCAACGCGTGCGGTTCTCTGCCTCGTTCTGAGATTCGCTCGTATCCGAAGTTTGCTGACCACTATCGGTGCTCATGATGATCGGTGCTCAGTTCTGCCCAACGCCACACCCTCGTATCCGTCACAAGGCCCCACAAGTCCGCCGAAACGAGCACGTATTCGATCAGCGAATGCTCGCATACAGTACCAGTCCGACTATCAGACCCCCTGTGCCAGGAAAAACTTTTGGATACCTTTGTGCTGGAAGAAGGTGTTGGTGATGGTCAGGCCATTGCCAGCACAGAAGTCCAGCGACTTTCTGGCACTCCCGTTCAGCGTGGCTTCCCCAAATCGACCGATCACACCACTCCATGTAGCATCGTCTACCCCAACTCTTGAATTAAAGTCCCCCATTAGCACAACGCGGTCGCCGTTCGGAATCCTTTCTAAGGTTCCATCCACCTCCTCCACAAACGCATCGTAATCTGACTCGCTGTTCGGCCCGTAGACCTGAACGACGGCCAAGACTCTGACTTGCTCCAGTCTGAGGCGGATCAGAGCGACACGCTCGCTGACTGGGCTCCATTCGATGACGCTTTCAGCCAGTTGGGGACTAATGAGTATCCCCACTCTGGCCTGAGCAAACACGGTCGAATCGACTCCGCTCCAGTAGAGGGTCCATCCGTGGTCAAGATAAATGGAACCGGTGCCTTTCCTCTTGTTTGAAGCTAGGCCAACTATATCTAGTCGTCTCCTCCTAGTCTCCTCCACGAGTTCAGGCTCCTTACCGCCGAGAATTAGAACGTTCCAAGTCCCGATGTTCGGAGTCCATTGCCAACGTCGTTTACCGTTCGATTCCGCTTCTGGTCTCCCCTTGAGGCATCGTGCTGAGAATACGCTATGGGGCATCGTGCCGAGAGTACGCTATGGGGCATCGTGCCGAGAGTACGCTATGGGGCATCGTGCTGAGAGTACGCTATGGCCGGTGGCAAGCCGACCGATAGGCCTGGATGTAGCATGACGGTGTCCAACGCACCCAGAGACATCGGATTGCCCGGCCCCAGTAGCCAACTAATCAATAGTCACCGTGGGCGCACAGTGACTATCGCAGTCCTGATTATCCTGGGCGACGACTGAGTCAGTATCGAGTACCCGGGCCGAACTCATCATGCTGGATTTGGTTCGTCTTGGTCACCCTCAACGTAAGCCCCTATAACATGGTTGGACCTGAGATATTACAGCCTTCCGTGGACAAAAGTTCATCTTAAACTTGGAATTTTCACATTTTCGGTAATCTTTGGTCGAGTATTTTTCAATGTGGTGGATCTCGAGATATATCCAACGATATATAATTGGGTGTGTCTTTTTCAAAGAAAGGAAGGGAAACAAATTCCAAGGGTTGCGTAATTAAAATTGTACTGTTTTGGTGGAGTGGCTGAATACAGTCGTGTAATATAACACTAGAAGGTTTCAGAACTGTGTACAATGTCATGAGGACATCGTCTAGATACCCCGCCGAACCAGCAAGGAAACATAAAAACTTAAAAAGTTTCATTTCATTTCATTATTTTTTATTTTGTCAACTCTGAAATCTCTCGGCACACTTAATCCATACTGTGCGGCACACCAGTGTGCCATGGCACACCCTTTGGGAAACACTGATCTAGTTAACGGACGATCAGGTTCAGTGTATCTGTTAGCTCTGCATCGAAGAATCTGGAGACTGTGCCTGTCCAATTATGGATACCCTAACATTGATATGTTCGCTATCCAGGACAAAACTAATATCAATACCTTACACGATGCATATGCTCACTCCCACAAGTATGAGATTTACATTTTCCCCATGATTTGTGCACTATTATCCATTCAGTTACGCATCAAGAAAGGAAAAGCTGATTTCCAAAGGAGTTTTTTTATTATTTTCTGGCAGAGACCTGTATGTAAGAAACTCTTCATGCAGCTGTTACATCACTGCATCCCCGGTCTATCAAAAGCCAGATAAGTTGAGAGTAGATACAGAGATAAAATATCTGACACAAGATTCCCGAACCCGAACGTATGTGAGAAGTGCCAGTTGGGTTGCTCGTGTGAACATGAAGAAAGCTTCAAAATGCCAGCTCCTGAGGGATATTACTTATGGAGAGCATTGTGAAACTTTAGTTAGTTAGAATCCCCTAACTTTTTTGCATGGCCGCCAAGAAACTTTGCATTGTTGGATTGACTGGAAGTGGGAAATCCACCACTGGAAATGTATTACTTGGAGAGGACCCGAATAGTGCCAAACATTTCAAAACAAGTGACGAAGCTAGAGCCTGTACCGAAGCCATCAAATGTCTCACTGGAAAATGGCTGGGAAACGGAGTCGATGTCGATGTCTTCGATACGCCAGGGTACAGCAATCCTAAAGACCGTCAGAGCACCGACCTGGCCTTCATGAGGAAATTTGCTGAAGTTTTTCAAAAGGAGAAAGGGATGGACGTTTTCATCTGGGTCAAGGACAGTGGGAACCCTAGATTTACCAAGTTTGAGGCTGAGTACTTCGACTTATTCTATAATACATTCAAGGAGAGCTTCATCACAAACTTGGTGATCGTGATCAGCAAGTGGAAATACGAAGGAAGCATGGAGGAATTGCCTGAAAGCAGATCAAATAAGACGGCGGTACTAATGAGAGAAATCAATGATTTCCTTGCTGACCGATATAAAAGTCCACGCTTGACAATTCCAATGGCAGCTATTGATGCATGTTACGATCGTGGCAACTTGAGAAAGACTATGATATTTCAGAGGGAAATTGATGAACTCTGGAAGGCATGCAAGGACTTCAACGGCTTATCTATGGAGGACGTCACGGAAGCTCTTTCGAGAACAACTCCACCACAGCCCAAACGTAATTGCAATATATTTTGAGGGAGTACTTCGAAAGTTCTGAAGAGCGGCACGCAGAGACAGTGTTGTGAAAAAAGAAATGTAAGTAACAAAACTTACTGATAACAGCAAGTAAACATTTTTTAGATACATTGATTTCATATTGTTCCGTTCTATTTCAGGTGTCTCTTTCTGAGAGGAACGTTTCCTTACTTTTGAATTACTGTGAATCAATAAATCAAACAATATGCTGGTTGATCTCACATCATTTTTTCTCGCTTTCTTCCTTCTTTCCTTAAATTGGTTATACTCATAAAATGTCGTCCTGCTTCTTGAAGGGTGTGAATGCAATTGGGAATTGCTCGAGGACAATTTGGAGTCAGCAAGAGATTTCGCGTTAAACTGGAGGTGCAAATGATCCAAGGTAGGAAGCGTGAGTGGTTCAGTAACTGGTTGACGGGAAGAGAGCAACGAGTACTGGTGAACGGGGAAGCGTCGACGGAGGTCAGGATTGCAAGCGGTGTCCCTCTGGGCTTGGTCCTGTTTTTGGTCTACTTGAACGATTTGGATCTAGGCGCAGAGGGTAAGATGAATAAGTTTGCCGACGACACCAAAGTAGGTTTTTCCTTACGGGGGGAGGCGATGTGGCTAGAGCCGAGAGAGGTTTGAGTCTGTTGGATAAGTGGAGCAAGAAATTGCTTGTGAGCTTCAATAAAAGTAAGTGCAAAGTTCTCCACGTCGATCGAAAAAACTGTGGGCCTCTGGACGCTTTTGGTGAGGATCAGCTCCGGAAAAACAAACAGAAAGATATATTTAGGAGTTTCTATCGAAGAAGGCCCCAAG